TAATGTATCATAACAGATGCCATCAATTCCACTTCTCAAGCATGCATACTGCTGTGTGATTTGTGTTACATGAAAAATAACCGCATTCAAATGAATTCGTTTTTCCACCAATAGCTATAAAACATACCATTATTTACTCCTTTTCGAGGCGTGAAGTGTTTTTTCAATACCAAGCTTAGTTTTTTGCAATTTATGAACCACTAGTCAATGAAGACATAGCCACCTCTTTTGTTATTAACCCGATTGCACTGTTCTGAACAGAGATTCGCAGGAATGGCACTGGAATCTAGTAGGTATTTATTAATCTAGTAGGTATTCTTCAATCTAGTAGGTATTAATCAATAACGACTTGTCATGATGCTGTCATGGTCATGGCTAAGAATTTGAGAATAAGTGCTTCCATAGTGACAATAGGTTTAATATTTTGGTTTCACAGAACTTAAATGATTGAAATATATTGTTAGTTGTTAGTGGTAAAAAAAAATCATATAAAACTTGGTAGTGGAGAATATTATTACCACAGGACCTTATACCCCTCGGCTGAAGCCTCGAAATATAATCTTGTTCACTGGGAAATAATGATAATCGTATTTATAACCATTATGCACGATTCACGGGCGTAAAGTAGCAATTAAGTGCCCTTGGGCGATAAAGGTGTATAGCGGGCGGTAAAGTGTAGGTGATTAGGTGGTAAAATACCCAATGTTATTGTTTTTGCAGTAATTTCTAGTTGACTGCCATTCGATCTTTCCTCGCCATTGGCATTCATATTTTGGCCAAATGGAATCAAAATCATGAATGAATTCCATATTGAGAGTAAATAAATGTATAAAACGGTTGTGCATGAACTGTGTATTTCGCTTGCTTTCATGGACCTAGGCGTCTGAATAGCCCTTGCTATCGCTCGGGCGTTTACTTTCACGCTGCGGTCCCAAAAGCCTACTTTACGCCCTTGATACGTGATTAAGTTTCACGCCCATCAATGGACCAAGAAGACCAACCAATGTAGAGAAAAATAAAGCAATTTCTTCGTACAGATCCATAGGAAAAACGTACCGCCTTCTTTATTGTCGGAAGGTGTCGGAAGCGCGGGTGCCCAAAGTGCATCGCATCCGACAAACTCGCCAAAATGAACAAAACTCCGTAACAATTTGTTTCTAGGGAGTTTTGGGGGGCGCTGTACTCGAATGTGGATGTACCAAATTAACCCGACCCTAGTATGATGACTTCCGGCAGCCTTGGGGGCGCGGAGGAACATCAATCAATCAATCAATCAATCAATCAATCAATTTATTTACCACAAAAATTCAATTAAACAGATACAAAATTTCTCGATACATTGGTAAATAAATAACAAACGTCCAAAAAAAGGTTGCCCTTGAACATGGACGTATAGTGTTAGCGTGAAAATTAATAATAAAATTACAAATAGGTATATATATAAATATAGAGTAGAGATAAAACAAATAGTAGAACTAACTAATATTAATATCATCGACTCAGACGGAGAAGTACTTCAAACAGGATGTTTAGTTCTTATAACCAAAGTTTACGGGATATTATATAATATTCAAATTCAAAAAGGAAATGTTCGATTTCGATGGAATAACGTCATTTCACTGGGAGTTTTTCAGCTGCATGCGCACTCGTCCCCAGAGAACACGCCGCAGTCGGACGGTGCAATCGCTCTTATTGCAGCGGTGATTTAGAGCGCTTACACCGCCCAAACGCGACACGCTCACCGAAGACGAGTGTACATGCTCAGGTTTTTTTTTTTTTTTTTTTCTCTTTTTTACATTACATTTGTGGTTCAAATATTATATTCCTGCCTATCAATCAGCCTATGAACTTTTGTTCTAGGTATGGAATGAATCCATAATTTCAATTTTTTCTTGAACAGGTTGGTGGAATATATATGATGTAGTTCTTCGGGAATGTCGATATATAGTACGGGGCAGAGATAGATAAAGGATCTTTGACTTTTTCTGGTGTTTACCTTAGGTATAACTGTGGTTTTACCTTTCAAGCGGGTATTATATTTATGGTTTATTTGATCTTCTTCTTTTTTATGTTTATGATGATGGATTAGGAGTGTCTGGTAATACAGTTGTCGGATATCTAACGTTTTTGATTCTGAGAATAAGGTTTCAGTAGGGTATCTGTAATTTTTCTCAAAAATAATTTTCAAAATCCATTTTTGTGCTGTTTTCAATGCGCTCAGATGAATGTTATCTATTCCCCCCCATACTTTGATGCCATATGTTAGATGAATTTGAATAAGTGCGTTGTATAGTATTTTTACATATTCAACATCAAAAAGTTTCCTATACGTTTTAAATCTATTGGCCATGCTCCTTAATTTATTGCTTACATAGTTAGCGTGAAAGTCCCATTTGAGATGATTATCTATAATAATTCCCAAGTATTTATATTTTGGAGTTGATTTAATATCAGTATCCGTATTTTTGAATTTTAATATTTCGTAATTTGGAAGAGTATCATTGTAACAAGTGAATGGCATGAACACAGTTTTGTTAAAGTTGATCGTGAGCAATCTATTATTGAAGAAGTTGATTATTTTGGTAAAATCCTCCTCAACTATGCTCTTCAATGATTTCCAGGTGTAACCCTCATAAAAAATGGCAGTATCATCGGCAAAGCTAGTGATATCGCCTTGGGTTTCGGTTTTGAAAAGGTCATTGATATAAATATTGAAGAGGATCGGTCCTAAAACGGTCCCCTGAGGTACTCCGTATTCAATGATTCTTTCCGAGCTTATCACACCATTAATATTAACACTTTGCTTTCTTCCGCAGAGATAACTTTCCATTAGTTTCAATGGTATTCCTCTGAATCCTAGGCCTTCCAAAATTTCGAGTAGTCTTTGGTGACTGACGGTGTCAAACGCTTTGGCCAAATCGACGAAGATGAATTACTGGATTTTCTGAATGACTAGGAAAATGCCCCTCGAGGGTTTTTGCGGGTGCTGATTCTGGATTCGAGGGCGATAATTACCCCCTGCGCTCATGGAGGGAATTGCGGTGGTGCGAGTGGTGCTGGACGAACGGTGGAACTGAATGTTCCAGGAATAGCGAAAATGCCTCTCGGAGGTTTTTGCGGTCGCTGAAACCTAATTTGAGAGTGAAAAATGACCCTTGTGCTCGTGGTAGGTGGCGCGGGTGTAGGCGAGGAGGGGGGATTATTGATTACATTCATGAACTAGTAGCATGAAATAACGAGCATTTTGGGGAATTCAAATTGCGCCTGCTCCCAGCATTGAATTCCACCCCCCCCCCCTCACTCCCTCGCACACTTCGCACTTTTCACGAGCGCAGTGGGTAATTTCTGCCCTCGAATTCGGAATCAGCCCCTGCAGAAACCCCCAAGGGGTAGGAGAATTTGGTACATGCATGTTTGAATTAAGCGCCCTCCTAAATCTCCTGGTATCAATTTTTGTGGCGTTTCGTCCATTTTAGCAGGTTTGCCAGATGCCATGCACTTTTATAAATGCTATTTATGCACGCGCGATGCATTCTTGACACCTCTCAACAATAAAAAGGGCTTTTTATCACGATTTTTTCTGAACGAAATGCAAGAAACCGCATTGAAATCGGACTTGTACGAGAAAGTTGTTTAATCTGGGGGTAAATCGTTCTAGATTGCCTGGTCCAAAGTCTCCAATTCATATTTCCACCAATCATGCCAAATATTGAGGAACACATCTTAGTTCCGTAATCAGAGGACTCATTCGTTGAAAAGATTACAATTCATTATAATAATAAGACCTTGATCTATTTGTGAAAAATCAGATTAAAACTGTTTCTTATTATTATTATTATTTTGACAGAATTATATGAAGTTGTTTTTGTAGCAGACTTCAATATCTTTATTTTTCGGTAAGGTGTATGCTATATTGAATCAACCCTAATGATTGCAAGCAACTAATAAAAAAATGATGAAGTTCTTCGAGGACCATCACCATTCTTTTAATTCGGTTATAAACAACTTTTTCTTCGAATGCCCAATAGAGAACAACTAGATCGAGCATTACAAAAAACGACTATAGGGTGAGTAGTTTTTGTAAAAGGACTTCAACAGCATAGAGAGCACATGTTTTCAAAATGAAAAATTCATGTGAGGAAAATTTTCTCTTTTGTGTTCTCCAAGTTTCTTAAAAAAATTGCAAAATAATGACTACAAATTTGGTGCACCTTCTATACTTCGGGAAGTCGATATTTGGGGCTATCAATTGTTTCTGAATACCTACAGGGTAAAAGTTCATATACAAGCGGATTATTTTACCAAATATCTGGAACGCATTGAGTGCTTTCTTGAATGGAAATATACCAAATTGAATGGAAGAATATACATGGTGATTTACGTAGACCATACATTGAAAGTTTTGCAAGTATCAGTCGGATTGAAAACATGAAAATTATTGTTATAATCGACCATTTTCAATTCACCTGTAATATTTTCAGTTCTTCAGCTCTACAGGATGTGCCAAAAAATGGGACCGACTTTCTTATTTCGAATACATTTTCATAAGGTTCGATTGGCATTTCAATTCGAGATAATGTCGATTGATTTAAAACTAATTACCACCGTAGTAGTTACGGGAACAACTGTATCTCGCAAACCGTTACATAATTTCATCCAAAAAAATATGTTCCAAATGACTGAGACCAGATATCTGCAGAGTTCGCACGAATAAAATCTTCAGATTTCCAAATCTTAGATAAACTGTGAAACTAACTTATACAGTGTGATCTAAGATCTAGGTAGTGCAGGCATGTTATTTCGGAAAGTGATGTGTGAAATCAACGACACAGTTTTTTTCGTGTATACGATTGTGTAATTCCTGGTAACGAATTTTGAGCCATCATACTTCAAAGGCGACATCAAAGCTTTCGCATCTGGAAGTTGGGGGATCTGTGATTTTCTATTATTTTTATGTTAACAGCATGAAATAATTCATTACTATTGATTGTAAGGCTTACTTGTGTCCATTTCGACTAGCTAAATGCAACGGGGTGTGAGGAAATACTGTATCTGGTGTGGTCCTCTTGAGGCACTGTATCAAAGATGGATCGGTCCTGACCAGCAGCTCCACTGTATCCAATCTGCAACCAAAAACATATATCAATATTCGGAAGGGTTATTGTATGTACATTTAGCCTGACGGAGTATTATGGTCCTCAATACAGTAATGTACATCACCGTTTTCATTTTTGTAGGTCCAATGAGTATGAGGAAATGTAGTGAATTGACGTCTAGATCCATCAAATTCGTATTGATTTGTTTCATTATCAGTAATACAAATATTTTTGATTCCATTTGTGCGACTTGTCAATTTGAGCTCTCTTTTCAATAATACACGTATCAGCCTTCTCATATATATATTTTTTCAATGAACGAATATCTCGGTTAATTTTCAATATTAAAATATTAAAACGATCTCTTTTGATACCTGCGATGAACACTTTTCAATGGACGTGTGTTTTCCACTGACCCCTCATTTTTATGCTCTGATGCTGGCTGAACAAGCTTGATAGTTAATTACCTTCCATATTGAGCAGCAAGTTCCAATGCAGTTTCGCCTCTACAGTTTCTTATTCCAGGATCACAGGCATGTTGAAGTAAGAGACTGACCACATTAGTGTGGCCGTATTGTGCAGCGCAGTGGAGAGCAGTTTCATCATCTTTGGTCTGAAACAAAACAACAGAACAATTTTTATGGAAACAGAGAACTTTCGCATATTATTGTAATGGAAATGATCATACGACTGACTATTAATGGTACACCATGATATTTTGCATCAGCCAGAACGATAGCGATAGAATATGCGGTTATGAAAACGCACTGCACAACGTGAATCAAAAAGCAGAGGAAGACCACAGTATATTTATTTCTGAGAATGCGAAATGAACTTTTACCTAACACCCTACAACTGGTCAGACCTGCTGATAGCACTTATCATGTAATCATTCTACATGAAATACAAATGAAATAAACAACCACCTTATCTGACCTAGTGCCAACCAGGCCTAACTTCGACTGAGCATTCCAACTAGTCATTAATAATTGTTGCAAAGTTACTTTTTCTGCTATCCAGGGCTCAAAAATGGAAGAATCGGTGAGCGCTGGAGAATATGGACCTGATTAAAGGTTATATCTAAAGCCTCAGATCACTTTTTCACCATCTTCGAGGCTGAAATGCCATTTCTGGGCACAATGGCGACTGAGGAAGACCCTGAAAGATTTTTGGAAAATGTATATCGCTTCTTCGAACTTGATACCTACTCCTCAGAAGTTGAAACTTGTGCGGAATTACGAAGAGCGTGATCTACAGCTCCTAGTGGATTCCGAACCACTTTTAGGGCAAACATCCATATTTGTTCTGATAGTCGCACCGCTTTCAAAGCCTCCCAACCATTTGCCAACACCCCAAAGATGACAGTTGCTTCAGAATACAACTGATTCAACCAGGAACAAAAATAGACTCATGTATGTATGTTCCAGCGCATGAAAGAATCAACGGGAATAGAAGAAACTTCGTGTGAAACAAGTAAATTTCATCAATTGTAAAATCTCCGGTAATAAGAAGACATCACCGAAAAGTCATCACATCACGGGAAAGCAATTCTAAGTCGACGAGAAGCGAGAAGGTCTATCGACCATTGGACAAAAAAGCCAAGCAGCTAATCAGCCTTGGTGAACCAGAGCCGAAGCTTATCACAGATTTTTTCACAGGAAAATATCCTCTGAGGTTCAACCTCAAAAAGATAGGTTCAGCCATACTGACACTTTTCGTTTTTGTAATATCGCGACCGCATCCGTGAAATACTAGACTTCATCAGAAGTCTAGGGTAAGGTCGCATTGATATTGTTAGCAATTCTTCGTAAATCACTCTCCATAATATTCAGTAGTAGATGATGACAGATATATTACGTGTACGAAACAATATATCTCGATTTGATGATATCGTATACTTCCAGATCATAATTAATATGTTTGGTTGTTGATTACGCGTCTCAGTTTTTTGTCAATTTCATTATTTCTCACAACGAATATGGGTTTCTTTCAAAGATTGCCTAGGAAGAGAAAAACTTTTGAATCCATTGACCGATGGAAAGCAAATGATATTTTAGCATTCGGCATATCTGCAGTGCGTATTCCAAAAAAGTATAAATCGCTACAATCTGTTGTTTTCCCACCGTTGTCCAAACTTTTCGATGCAAAACTTGCCACGATCTTTTCAATTCCTCGTCGGCGGTCTCTGAAGCGTGCCTAATCCGGAAACTGTGCAACCTGCCACTTTCAGTTCGAGTTGACGAGCCTTTTCATCCAAAATGCGACTTCTGCTGCTGGCAGACAACTTGTCCATTTACATTTTTAAACCGAGAATTCTTTCGTAAATTTCTGTTCACCATTCCGGGACGCATTTAAAAATTCCGGTATAGGATTCGGCACCTGCTTAAATTCTATTGGCGGATTTTGATTTGTCTGACCAATTAAAGGCGAAGTGCCGAAATCCGTACCAGAATGTTGAGCGATGCTGAAAAGCAGGTCGGATTGTTGCCCCGCATTTTGTGCGGTTCTTGTTCACATTTACCCTCGCATTTACCTAACCTGCGTATTTTTTGATTATACCGTTGTTCCCACATGCTAACAACAAACCTGGCAATCTTGTTATTATAGTTAAGTGCAATCATCAATTAGTGAAGTAGGTATACCATAAATCAAAAATCACTAATTATGGAAAGATTGATAAAAGTTTCAGAAAATTTGTATAGGGGCAATATGAATAATGAAACAGAAGTTGTGCAATGGATGAATGATTATGAAGCTCAGTCGTTTACATCATGGCGTTTCAAATCAGGCCCTACAAATATTAAAAGATTCTTGTACAGGTAACAATTTTATGTTTTCTAAATATTATTTTATTTGCTCATGAAATGTATTCGAAGAAGACGAAGACGCAGTTTGGCAGCAGGGATTCATCAAGTCAAGTAGCTTGATATTTTAAGAAACTACTTGACTTGACTTGAAAATCAAGCTCGTGGCAAATTACGTACTTGACTTGACTTGAATTTGAGATATTTATTACTTGACTTGAAATCAAGCTACTTGATAATACTTGATCTTGATACGCACGAGTCGCACGGCGTATATTTCTGCAGGCTCGCTCACGCTTAGACAAAATACGGGGGTTCCCCGAGATCCGAGCTGACTGAATCGATCGCGCAGTCAGTCTTACGATGCCATTTTCATTTCATCAGTTATATACAGGGTGACTCACGGTCGATGGTAGGTTAGACGTTCACGTTTATGATTGGAACGCAACGCAGGATTTTTCTGAAAATTCCGCATCTCACATTTCATCACTGGTACTATCGATCTAATATATTTTCAAAATCACGACGTTGCCGCTTCTATAGAAAAGTAGGAACCACTTTGTTATTTCGAATTGAACACCCTGTATTTTATTGCATTTTCAGATTCTCCTTGAAGAGTTGATTTCATCGATACATCACACTCGGGGTATAGCGGAAAAGATTATGGAGATAAAGAGTGCGAAAAATCGAGATTTTTCAACTCCAGGAATTTTTTGTGTATGCGAAATTTTCAGAAAAATCCCGCGTCGCGTTCTCCATAAACGTCTAACCTATAACATCGACCGTGAGTCACGCTGTATAGATACACAATAAAACTGCTGAAAATCAAGTAGCTTGATAGAACTACTTGATTTTTCAAGTACTTGATAAATAATTACTTGACTTGACTTGACATTAAAAAACTTTCGCTTGACTTGAACTTGACTTGATTTCAAGTCAAGTCAAGTCAAGTAGCTTGAATATCAAGTCAAGCCGTGAATCTCTGTTTGGCAGGTAACGTGGAGAGAAATCAACCGAACGCTAAGTCCCATGGAATAGGACATTAACATACATTAAGTGTTCTAATGAATGTTATTTCGAATTTATTATCTCATTTTATTACATATAATCAGTCATTTTAAACTTTTATACCAAATAATCATCATGAATATAAATGAAAATTTCTAAAGTTATTGAAAAATGCGTTCATTACACATTATCTCGAGCTTTCATTTCATCAACATTCCGACCTGTGTTTCAGCACCGCTCAACATTCTGGTACGAATTTCGGCACAAGCAGGTGCCGAATCCTGTACCGGAATGTTTAAATGCTTCCGGGACGGTCAAAATACGCGGTGAATCCTCTTGAAATAATTGAATCTGATAGATATCACTCTTTTTATGTCGAAAGAACGAATTCTCGTCCTTTCAAGAACATTTAGTTTGAATATTATCACTTGTTCCGCTCAGTTTTCATTGTCAATTTCAGTTGAATTTGAAAATTTTGTTATACTCTATAAGAAATGAATATAACTGCAACAAATAAACAAAGTAATCATAATCACACGCAAAGAAAAAGCCGGTACCCTGTACTGAAATCGTGGTGAATTCAACCGCACAGAATGGTGCGTATAGCCTTTGACTTTCCGTCGTGATTAATTTCACTAGGAATCATTGGTGATTGGAACAGATCCTTCTGAACCAAACCGGTAGGTAAATTGTACCGCTACTTGCAGTGCCGTCACACATTCAGTATTACCACGACTCATGGCGCTCTGATAATGGTAGTCCAGTAAAACCAAGATATAATAGATGGTGATATTCACCACGACGCATGGCACTAAGATAATCGTTCTATATTGTGGAGATCTAACATTATCAGAAATGAAATAAGTAGCAACCAGATTCACCACGTCATTTAGGGTATTTATAAACATTATCGTTCGTGCCATTCACTGATATCGACTGATAAATGTCACTCAACGAGTGTTCATATGAACTAGTAATTTTTGATAGATTTGTTTTTTTTTTTTTTTTTTTTTTTTATCAATTCTTGAAATTATCAAGGACATGAAGAAAAAACTGGGTTTCATCATATATGATCATTTATTATATCCATCAGGTACATCATAAAAATAAAAAATATATACTGAATGTTCCCTATTCCATATCTGGTCTGTTTTGGATTAATCTTCGAAGAGAGACGAACAGAATTACCCAACAAACGCCCAGTACTGTAAGTTTTGAATAATTCGAAACAAAATAATCAAATTTGGTGGGTTGCCTATATACTTTTTGATATATATATATATATATTGATTCAAAAATCCTGTACAGGCATTCATTTTCCAGCAAATTTAAAAATCATATCAGGAATGATGGAGTTACAGAAATGGCATTTTCTTGGGCAGTTCTCTGCATGTTTTCATCCAACCATACCTACCTTTATGGTGTTCTTATCACAATTTCTTGCCAACATATGATTGTATAGTGGGTGTTCATAGAACTTACGGCAAAAATGCAAGAAGACTACTATGAGGGTGGGTAGATATGGTGAACATTATGTACAAAAATATAAATTATAAATACTTTGGTCATTATATCAGGTGCTGACACACTTATATCAAGTAAAAAAACAAATATTCTCTCAAATATAGAAAGTATCAAACAAAAAAGTAACAAAAACAAAAAAAAAAAGGTAGATATGGTGAACATTATGTACAAAAACATGAATTTATATGAGTAGTTATATATAAATATCACACATTGAGATGAAAAGTATAAAATATAAATACTTTGGTCATAATATCAGGTGCTGACACACTTATAT